TACTAATATGAGATATGTGTTGTAATTTTTAATTTATTTTTCTTGTCAAACAATGGTTTGTCTTGGTTATTTAAAGCACTTTGTAAAGGAGAGTTCATGTAATTATCGTTAAGGATGAACTACACAAAGATTTAGACAGAATAACTCTTACCGAATAATGTTTTACAAGTAATGATGTAAATCCTGTAGACAAACAAGTATCTAAATAAAGCACTCTGTATATTATCACTTGATGTATTTCCAATGAGTGATACATATTCAATTTATAGGCCCTTTGGATATGGCCTCTCAACTACATGCATTTAATACAACTACTACCTTTCAACTACATACATTCAATACAACAACTACCTCTCAACTACTACCTCTATAACCACTACCTCTCAACTACATGCATTTAATGTTTACCTAACAAAATCCCATCATAAACTTAAATGCTTTTCTTGTCCTTCATTCCAAGCATCTTCTTGTTGTTCTCGAACAGAGTGGTTGACAGTGACTTCGTGAACATATCTGTAGCTTGTGTTCGGGTTCCGACGTGCTCTAACTCCACATTTCCTTCTTTCACTTGTTCTCGGATGAAATGAAACCGAACATCAATATGTTTGCTTCTCTCATGATTGACCGGATTCTTTGTCAATTCAATGACCGACTTGTTATCAACACGGATCACAGTCCCTCTTTCTTGCTTCAACTCCAGCTTGCTTAGAAGGTTTCTAAGCCAAACTGCATGACAGACACTCCAGGATGCTGCAACGTACTCGGCTTCACAAGTTGACAACGTTACAATGGGCTGCTTTTTTGAAAGCCAGGTGAATGCTTGTGTTTCCCATGAAGAATACATATCCAGGACGTGCTTTTCGGTCATCAACATCTCCACACCGAGTCCACTATCCGAGTAACCTACTAGTCGATAATCATCCAGTCCTAGTATACATTAGGCCAAGTGACACTGTTCCTCTCACATACCTTAGAATTCTCTTTAGTGCCTTCCAATGAGTATACCTTGGCTCCTCCATATATCGACTTGCTATTCCAACACTTAGCATTAAATGCAGTGCAGTATTTGTAAGATACCTAAGACTTCCAATCGAGACTTCGGTATTTGCTCGCATCAACTCGGTCTCCATCCGCATACTTAGAAAGTTTTGTACCAGGTTCCATAGGGGTGGAAACCGGGTTGCAACTTGTCATCTTAAACTTCTTCAAGATCTCCTCGAGCATATCTTTCCTGCGACACAAAGATGCCATCCTTTCCACTGAACAACTTCTAAGCCAAGAAAATACTTCATAAGACCCAAGTCGAGTCATCTCAAACTCCTTCTTCATCACTTCTTTAAACTCTTCAATTAGCTTGGCATTATTCCCCATGAAGATAAGATCATCAACATATAGGGCAACAAACATCACATCTTCTCCTTTCTTCTTTATATATAGAGCATGTTCATAAGGACACTGCTCATATCCATTCCTTTTGAAGTAAGTGTCAATTCTTTCATTCCATGCTCGTGGAGCTTGTTTCAAGCCATAAAGTGTCTTCTTCAATCTCAGCACTTTCTTCTCTTCACCTCTTCGCATGTATCCGAGTGGCTGTTCAACATATACTTCCTCCTCCAAGATTCCATTCAGAAATGCCGACTTCACGTCCATCTGCAAGATTGTCCATCTGTGTTGAGCTGCTAAGGAAATCAACAACCTAATTGTTTCCATTCTCGTCACTGGGGCGAATACTTCGTCATAGTCTATTCCTTCTTTCTGCTTGTACCCCTTCACTACGAGTCGAGCTTTATATCGTTCAACTTCTCCTTCAGCATTTGTCTTCTTCTTGTACACCCACTTTACGCCGATAGGTCGTGCTCCTTTGGGCAAATCAGTTAGCTCCCATGTGTTGTTGCGTTCTATTGCTCCGATCTCCTCGTCCATTGCCTTTCTCCACCTTTTCTCCTGCACGGCCTCTTCAAAACTTAAGTCTTCTGAATCTGCCAAGAGACATACAACATGCACTTCGTCAGTGGAGTTGTATATATCTTGTAAACTTCGCGCTCTGGGCTGTAGAGGTTCATCTTCTTCATCAGAAGTCTCATGATCTCTCACAGTATGTGGTGTATCAACTTCCGAGCTTCTACTTCCTATGGACTCCTTCTCTAGGTTGTTCCAACTCCACTCGCTTTCTTCATCAATTTGAACATCTCGGCTCATGATGACCTTCTTAATTATTGGGTTAAACAACCTGTACGCCTTGGTTTTTTCATCATACCCGATAAACACGTACTTTTTGCTTCTATCTTCGAGTTTGGTCATCTGTTGAGCTGGAACATGACCATAAGCTATGCTACCGAACACTTTAAGGTGAGACACACTCGGTTTTCTTCCACTCCAAACTTCTTGCGGTGTCTTCTCGTTCAGCTTAGCATGTGGACATCTATTTTGCACATAGATGGCACATTGCACTACTACGCCCAGAACTCCTTTGGCACGTTTTTGCTTCTCAACATTGTTCGAACCATGTCAAGAATGGTTCGATTCTTCCTCTCGGCAACTCCGTTTTGTTGGGGTGAGTATGGTCGTTGTCAGAAATCTCCTTATCCCTTGCTCCTCGCAATACTTCATGAGTTCGGATGAAATGAACTCGCCTCCTCGATCGAGACCTAACGATTTGATAGGCATGTCGAGTCTCTTTCTCAACCATTGCTTTAAATCTCTTGAACACCTCAAACACCTCGGATTTCTCCTTCAAAAAATATACCCAGGTTTTTCTTGAAAAATCATCTATAAAAGAAATGAAATACCTTTTCCCACTTGAAGGACTCGGGAGTAACCTAGGTCCACAAAGATCTGTGTGAATCAATCCGAGTTGTTCCTTTGCACGGTACTCGGCCGTCCTCGGAAATGAGGTTCTCGGATGCTTCCCGAGCACACACTCTTCACAAAATTTCTTTTCAAATTCCATAGACGGGAGTCCTCGCACCATCTCTTTCTTTACCAACTTGGTCAGCCAGCCAAAATGCAAGTGGCCAAACCGAAAGTGCCACATCATTGCTTCATCCTTCACGTCTAGTTTCAAGCACCTCTCTTGGACTATCTTCAACTCCATCTTGTACATTCTGTTCTTCTTCATTTCTACTCGGGCAATCAAACGATCCGACTTGTCCTTCAGGTATAGTACTCGGTCTTTCATCAGAACCGAGTAGCCTTTCTCCATCAGCTGACCCATGCTCAGTATGTTGCTTTTGAGATCAGGTACATAGTACACGTCTCTGATTTCTCCAACTCGGCTATTCTTGTGTAGGTACTAGATTGTACCTCTGCCTTTTACTGCCACCTTTGATGCATCTCCAAATGACACGTGTCCGACCTCAACTTTAGTGAGCTCCTTAAAAAGGTTCTCGTCCCCGCACATGTGGTTACTTGCTCCTGTATCAAGATACCAAACCGAGTTGTCAGAACAGCTCGGACTTAGCTCGACATCCGAACTTCTCGACATCATCAATACTCCTTCTTCCTCAGTGTCCTCAGAGAGGAGGTTTGTCTCCTTCTTCCTCTCAGATCGGCAGTCCTTTGCGAAATGCCCAACCTTCCCACAATTATAACATTTGATACCTGAATAGCAGTCCTTAGCAAAATGACCGTACTTCCCACATTTGAAGCACTCAACTCCGGAATTGCTTGACTGACCACCTCGGCCTCTACAGTCACGACCTCTACCTTGTCTTCGGCCACGCCAGTTTTGTTGACTGACTGGCTCCTTGCCTCTTTCATATTCTCCTCTGCCTCTACCACCTCGGCCTTGAGTGTTCTGAGCATAAGGAACCTTCTTCTCCTTTAAGATTGCCTTTGCTTGGAGTGCTTGATCAAGGGACTCCTCTTTCTTCTTCCTTCTCCGCTGCTCATACGCTTCAAGCGACCCGGCAAGCTCTTCCACCGAGAGCACCGACAAGTCCTTGGACTCTTCTATTGCACAAACGATATTCTCAAAATCGTCAGTTAACGACCTTAAGATTTTCTCCACCACTCGGCAAGTGGGCAGCGTCTCTCCATTTCTTCCGAGTTGATTCACCACGGTCTCAACACGGGAGATATACTCGGAAACCCCTTCGACCTCTTTCATCCTCATGCTTTCAAGCTCGCCTCTAAGAGTTTGAAGCCTGACTTGCTTCACGCGATTATCCCCTTTATATGCCTTCTCCAGAATATCCCACGCTTCTTTTGAAGATTTAGCATTTGCTATCTTCTCAAAGCCGGACTCATCAACAGCTCGGTACAGTATGTACAAAGCCGTTTTGTCCTTTACTCGTGTTCCTCTCAATGCAGCAAGCTGAGCAATCGTCTGCTCTTCAATATTCTCTGGTTCTTGGTGCCCATTTTCGACCACATCCCATACTTCTTGGGAACCAAGGAGAGCCTTCATTTGCAGGCTCCAGTTATCATAGCTTACACCTTTTGATAACTTTGGTAGGGGCATGCTGTTAGCTAAGTTGGTCATCTCAAACAAACTCTCTAACTCTCAAACACTCTCTCTAACGCACTCAGACACTCAGGCTCTCAAGTTCTGATGCCAATTTGTAGACAAACAAGTATCTAAATAAAGCACTCTGTATATTATCACTTGATGTATTTCCAATGAGTGATACATATTGAATTTATAGGCCCTTTGGATATGGCCTCTCAACTACATGCATTTAATCCAACTACTACCTTTCAACTACATACATTCAATACAACAACTACCTCTCAACTACTACCTCTATAACCACTACCTCTCAACTACATGCATTTAATGTTTACCTAACAAATCCGAATTGAAAACATATTCAATATAATAAAATAATCAGATTGATTATCGATTCAATTTCTAATACGAACAATCCTTTTAATTAGTATGTAAGAAAATGTGATCTTCTTCCTTCTTATTATATTATACGTAGGAAAATACAGAACAAAACAAAAATCCAAATTACTTTCTCCACGAACATGGGTGGGTGGGTGAATGTAACAAACAAATGAATTTTGTTGAGGGAAAACAAAGCAAAGAACAAGCTGGGGCCATAAGATCGCAGGTTTAAGCCGATGTGGTCGCCGCACCATGATTGGGCCCCATCATAGGTGATCACGATTAATAATTTTTTAATTAATTAGGTCAAGTGGAATTTCGTTTCACCCAAAGAAACAAACATTGGTATTATTTTCTAACATAGTTATAACTAAATTCACAGAAAGCCTTCGCTTCCTTCGAATTATCCTAAGATGCCAACGAAACAGGTAATTGAGTTGTTGATGTTTTGTCAGTGCCTTTGTGTTGTGTCATGTGTGGGCTTGAGATATGGGTTTCACCACCATTTGACATGATCTACAGGTAACATACCGCAATGATAAAGTGGTGGTAGTGAGGGTGTATGTTGAGAAGCCCAGGAAGAAGAGGTCGTCATCTTCAATTCAGCATCAGTATTATGATCATATCCATCATAGAATTAGAGATGAGGTAGGTCATGGCGCTACTAATATGAGATGTGGTAGAAGAGCAGAGTTGCTTAGGTACTCTCATCTCCTACGTGAGTCTGCAAGAGGAGCATTATCAGCACCTTCATTCTCCAAGTGGGTTACAAACAACAATCACCAGCCTCCAACCCAGGTAGACTTTGTATACTGCATATGAATATAATTTCATATTTATCATCTTAGATTTATCAAGAGTTACTTAGCATTTATTTTTTTATGTTTCATTCTAGAGATTTTTAGTTAATAGTTTATCTATGATTTTCACGTTATTAAAGTTTCTAAAGGATGTGCTGAATTTATTACATTACGTTTCATTGTGTTGCAGATAGCCCCTTCCAACATGAAAAAGCCAACTTTCTTTGGCAGCTGGAAACTGCTGATTCCAAGGTTCCTAAGGTCATGGTCAATAGCCAAAAATAAGGAGAAAAAGACGAAACACACGGGTGGAGATATTTTAGGAAATGGAATGAAAATTATATGCTGTTACAGATCCTGATACTGCACTATGATGCATGTTTAATGCTAGGGTATGGAGAGGGAAAAGTTTCATTTGGAACGTGTAATCACATCTCTCAAGGTAAAATGTCTCCAATATCGATCCAAATCAAGAATTTATATGGTTTAACTGGATTCAAGTTCTTATCTTCCATCACGCTAATTACTGACATTGCCCTCAATTATTACTGCTGATTTGAATGCATATGCCTCTTAAGGTTACTGTGTGTAATACTGTACATCACCGGTCTTATTTCATATTTCTTCTCTTATTTATCATTTTGCAATACAAATTTACCGTACAAATGCAATTTCTTTTCATGGATTGTAATCACTTATGTTTTGGTATAATGTACATGGATTCAAATATTCAATTCCTAACATTTATATTTTTCTTATCTTCGCATGTAGGGATGGCAAAACGGGCAAGTCCGCCCCGTTTTGGCCCGCCTCGCCTTTGGCCCGCTAAAAGTGGGCGAGCGGACTGGCCGATGTAGTCATGACGGATTATAGACTTTGGTCCGCCCGATCAAGGGTAGGTTGATGGCTGACTGGCTGGCCCGCCATAATTTAGAAAAAATAATTTATTTTTTAAAATAATATTTTTTAATAAATTTAATAATAAGATTATTATTTGTTTGTCAATAATTTAATATATATATATATATATATATATATTATTTCAATTTAATAATATAAATTAATATATTATTTTAAGAAATTATAATTTAGAACAATAATAAAATTTACATAATAATAAATAATAAAATATATATATATATATATATATATATATATATAACGTTAAAACTTATAAAATTTATATTTTTTACATTGAAAAATTCAAATACCTATATCTTTTTTATTTGATAAAACTTCACATTATTCTTGGTTGAGTAATTCTTACACTTTTAATTCAAATCATAAGAATAAAAATAATCGAGTGTTTAAGATGAACAAGGAGAACGGGAGAGAAAGTTGTGTTTTAGTAAGGAAAATATTTGATGTGAGAGTGAAACTTTTTTAATTCTCTTTTTTTAATTTTTAACTTTATATATTATCTTTATAATTAATTTTTATTACAATAAAAAATTATTTTTTTATTAATTAGGCGGGGCCGCGGGCTGGCCCGCCCCGTCCTGCAGGTTTGCGGGCTTGGCAGGACGGGCCAAAGCGGGCTGAAAACATCAACCCGCCCCGCCATATTATGACAGGCTGGCCCGTCGGGCCTGACCCATTTTAATTGTACAAGATAGGGTCCTCCTCTCTCCCGTTAAAGTTTTAATAATACGCTTAATTACATAAACAGAAGACAGTTAATACTATGAATGCGCATCTTACTATAAACGGATTTAAAAAAAAAAATAACAGATGAAATAAATGTTATTTCTCATAGATTTATTAATACATGCCTGTTTATTTTTAAAGAAAGTATTTCAATATTTATAACTTTGATTTTGTTAAGCTAACAAATAGAGATTTTTCTTCCGATTTTTTTGAATTTATCATTCTTATCTCTTTTTATAACGAATATCAGTAAAAGAAAAATGTTGATGAAACAAAAATATTGGTTGGCAAAAATAAAAACCCAAAATAATACTTTAATAATTACAGTGTTATTTTGGAAAAATTGTTTGAGTTATCAACCAATTATCGAGAGAAATAACATGAACAAATGAATTTGCCACATATGCTTATAAGAGCAGCATGAATATTAATATTTTAAGTTGAACCAAACAATGTCAAAAAATAAGAGAAACTAGGAAGATAACTTTTGAAACTCATTTAAAGTATTCACAAAAATAATACTGATATTGAGAATTTTAAAGGCTAAAAACTTGATTTGAGATGTGTAAGTTGAAAATCTTTATTTAGGTTCATTGTCGGACATTCTCATGCGAGATGACGAATAAGTAAATGAGAAATCAATGTTATTTGAATATAAAATGCCAACATATTTAATTACGCTGGCAAAAACACACTCTATGTGTCCATTTCTATCATGTTATGAAAATGATATTATAAAAAATATGAGCAAATATTTTACTTTATATCCTAAAGATTTGCTTAATCTTCAAAATAAACTCGTTAATACATAATTGAAAACTTAAAACAGAAAAGAGCGAAAATTGAAAAGAATGTAATATAATAGAAGAGAGAAACATGAGTGAAAAAAAAAAGAAGAGTACAATATAATAAAAGAGAGAAAGAGAGAGTTCAATAAATGAAGAGAAAAGAATAAGTGTTGAATGTGTCAACGTGATACAGTGAACTTGTAAAAAGAAAATAGACCTCCATTGAAAATAAAGAAAAAAAGCATGAAGTTACTTCGAAAAAAAAAAAAAGAGAGAGAAGATAAAAACTAAAACAACTTTGTGATTGAAGTGGTTTTCACAGCAGTTGAAGTATAATAAAATATTCGACATTGAAAGATAAAATAGAAAAATAAATTGTGTATACCAACTATTGATTTGTATCCTTACTTTTTATTTTATGCTCACATCAGAAATGCTTTCAAAAATTAAAAGAACAACAAATGCATCAATGATTGTACAAAAAACATTAGTTGAAACGTAAACCACTTATATAACCACTTGGGTTGATAATCCCTATTGGTGCTTAACAACCTTCCAAGTATTTCAAAAACCTAACCTCCAAAAACCTCTCCTATATTTTAATCTGATGTGGTTTTTCCTTCTACTTTCAAAATTGGGGTAATGTGTGAAACATCAAAATTTTGGACTCTTTGGCACGTTTCTAAAGTAACAAAACCAACACATAAGTTACAACACAGAAGGATATTCCTTCAGTCTGACCTATTTTACATGAGAATTACAACGTAATTTGATTGCAAAATTAGTCTAACAGTCACGGGCTATTGAGATCTTTGTTGTCGAGTATACTCCCAGAGAGCAATGGCACCACTGACGTGAACATTGAGAGATCTAACAACTCCAAATTGCGGTATTTCGATGCAAGCATCCAAAATATGAATTATATCCACAGGTATACCTTCTTTTTCTCGGCCGAGAACAAGGACCTGAGCGAACAATCAAATAATATATTTAAATATGGACATACGAATGTTAGAAATGTATGTCATGGAGCAAGCATGTTCTAAATATAAGCAAATATCAGTGATAGATAAAGAAAAACAGCCAATCAGTTAGCACGTAAATATTTGTTTCCTTTCATCCCACTAACTAAAAGTTAGCTACAATAGACTGAAAAGTAGCACCGCTCCACATTTTCAGCAGTACATCTGCATGCTGGTTTCCAAACGACACAATGACAAAATGATCCATTATCCAGCTTTCATTAAGTGTATGTATAATTCAACATGTGTACCACTGCAGGCTTTTCAGGTCAGTAGTCTCATAGGATTATTCCACTGATATTTCAGATCTTCAAAAATAGTCTTTACCTATAGTAGTTTATAGATCCCTAAGGTCATTGATCTAAACTCTGCCTCAGCACTTGACCTCGATATATTTCGTTTCTTGCTTCTGTCAGATCCAGAACAATCCCCTTCCCTTTTTTTAATAGAATCTATTTTCCAAGATTTTCATTCAATTACTGTAAAATGCAATAAACAGCTCTAAGATGAGTTTCTTTAGGATTATTCATAAGCTGACTTACCACCACTTCTGCATAAGTGTTAGGTCTGGTGAGACAAGTAGAAAAATGTCTTAACAAGCCTTATGGTCCATCGATTATTGCATATTCAACGGATTAACTTAATCTGTGATGCTGTTCAATAGGTGCCATCACTGGTTTGCATCTCGATTTACTGGTTTCAGCAAATATATCCAGTAAATGCTTTGGTTGGGAGATGAATAAGACAATCTTGAAAAAATACGGTTGGGCTTTGTCGGTGAGAGACTCAATGTCAGTCCCTTTTAAGAGAGGTTTGGACCATTTTAGGAAGTCTTTTTTTCACTGTGCCAAGGCCTGGGTTGAATGTTCTGCAACTAAGTTGCACCCAAACGTTCTCCTGGGCGCAGGGGCTTTTTGTTCATCAGATATATAAGGATTTCAGGAATTTTGGCACTTCAGAAAACAAAAATGTAAGAGTAGAAGGAACACAATGATGTGGCTCTCAGTATAATAACAGTAACCAGCACTAAATAATTATAAGAAATGCCTCTCCTGATCTTAATAATCCCAAAAAAATGGAAGTAAAACAAGAATACAAAATATCAGAGAATTCCAGACGAAAAAAGGTTCAACCAACTCCTCACAATAGAGTGGCCCGTGCAAGAAGGACAGATAAGAGAAGAATATTTCAGAAGATACTCCCCCTTTTTATTATTTCCTTCCACTCCTTATATGCTCCCATTTTTCTTGGTCTGCATTTTCCATGTTTTTCGCTTCTCACGAGTGCTGCATCTTAACTCACCAATTTCTGTTACTGCATCAGTCGGAATATGTGCCACGTGTCCCTCATCATCATCTTTTATTGTATTCCTTAATATCGTATCAATGCCCCCGCCATTAAAACTGACCTTGTCCCAAGGTCAAAAGATGGAAATTTTTGCTGCATAAAGGAACAGATTCCCAAGTGCTATCCGTACTAGGTGGATGAGCCCACTGAACCAAAACTTGATCGATCCAACCTCCCTGTTGTAAAAGTTTTCGCGAGTCTAAAATTTTTAAGGGCCTTGGGTGGGAATCCTCCGCAACCGTGTCTAAAGGAAGAGGAAAATACTGCTGAGGGGAATTACCCACACATTTCTTAAGTAGAAAAACGTGAAAAACAGAATGAATCCGAGCAGTAGGGAGTAATAATAACCGATAAGCGACTGACCCAACACGTTCAATCACCGGAAAAGGGCCAAAATAGCGGAGATCCAATTTTTGATGGCCATGGGAACGCAAAGTGCATTGTCTATAAGGATGCAGTTTGACAAAAACCATATCCCCTATTTGAAATTCCACATCCACTCGTTTACGATCCGCTAGCTGTTTCATGCGATTTTGGGCACGAGCAAGATTGAGTTT